ATGGCATATGTTATTTCAGAGGCAGATGCTGCAAAGGCTCCAAGAATATCAAATGGAGAGGATAAATATGTAAAAAAAAATGTTTCTCATGGGAACCAAATATTACCTTTATGTTCACAGGTTTACCTCATCCCTTTTTTCACACACATACACACACAAAGTTTTTACTTAGTTTTCTTGTATCATCCATGTAGCACCTACTTCCTTTAACTCAGCAATCACTTCCCTGCAGGGGTAATTCTTGTTGTAATGAAACTGGGATTCTACTTTATTGTAAAGAACATGAAAATGATTAGGAAAAAGAAGCATACTTATAGATTGGAAGGATTTTATCAAGAAGAGACAGAAGATCAAAGGTTTTCTCGACACCCTTTGCAGGTTTTGACAGCAATAAGTAGCTGACTGGGCCAACAAAGACCGGGACAGTTTCAACTCCAAGCTGCATTACAAACAACCAACCAACATATTAACAAAAAAATATTACTAAATCATGTTTAAAAGAATCCGGAATGTAACATCCCAAATTTTAAGCCAAATTTTTTTTATAATAAGTAATCCTCCACATAATTACCAAAACAATTCCCATGTCATATCATTTTCAAACAGAAATATATCATTGTATCTGAAAAATCATAATGTCAAAGTAAACTAAATCAGAGCACAATCCCAGAAAACTCCATGCGGAAATCATGTGTGTGTGTGATGCGCTGCTACACCGCCGACTCCTTCCCCTTAGACGAAGAGGTACCTGAAACCAAAACTAAAACTGTAAGCACAAAGCTTAGTGAGTTCCCCCATCATACCACATACCATATTGACACATTGCATACATACTGCCGGGCAATTCTGGGGTGCCCGACCTACCCAGTACGGCCATTCTGGGGTGCCGACCTACCCGTGTCAAGCCATTCTGGGGTGCTGACCTACCCGTGTCAAGCCATTCTGGGGTGCTGACCTACCCTTCGGTCCTATCAACCGAATCTCGGGGACTATTCCACCCCCTACTGCTACTATCACATATATCATAACGTAAACATATTGTCAGACATTTATGGGGTGTCCGACCTACCCTTTGGTCCTAACAACCGAACTTGGGGACTATTCCCTCCCTACTACCACTATCACATATAACATATCATGCCAGCATATAAACATATCATCACATACTGTCAGACATATCTGGGGTGTCTAACCTACCCTCCGGTCCTAACAACCGAACTCTACTACTGTCACATATAACATATCATGCCAGCATATAACATATCAGGTAGTAGCAAACCTAGATGAATATCACAAAGACAATCATCTAACATACAACTCCTACTAGTGGGTCGACATTGTGGCCGTAGACCCACCGCTACTGGAAGGTAACTCACCTCGAACGAGTAGCTGCTGATAATCTGTGCGGGAAATCTCTGTCTGCTGCTGCTCCGGAAATCCTCCGGCCATAATCCCCACAAAACACTTAATCAGAGTCTGATATCTATTCTTAGGGTAAAATAAACATTTTACCCCTGACCAGGTCCAAGTCAAAGTCAAAAGTCAACTTCCAGTTGACCCGACGCGCCGAGTTGGGCCGCCAACTCATCGAGTCCCTATCTCTTCAACTGTCCTCATCCACGTCTCTACTCGTCGAGTTTAGCAACGACTCGACGAGTTTTCCTTCTTACATAACCTCGGATGAACCTTCATCCCACTCGTCGAGCAGTATGAACACTCGTCGAGTTCATCTTCATCCTATGAACACGTCCTGTCCTCGACTCGCCGAGTTGTATGAACAACTCGTCGAGTTCATCTTCAAGAGTTTGGAGATTGCCTTGGACTCGCCGAGTCTGTTCGTGTACTCGTCGAGTCCTATGAACTCCAGGACTATGGCTTATCCCAATACGTTTGGGTCACTCCCCTGGACCCTCTAAAACCTTTCTTTCACTCAACTGGTTCTCATGAACCATAACAGAAAAAGGGAAGTCTAACCTCGGACTCGTCGAGTCCCAAGAACGACTCGTCGAGTCGATACAGTCCAAGTCTTATTTCTTCGATTTCTGGAGTGCAACTCTTGTCCAAATGATAGATCTATGCCCCTAAGATCGATCTAGCACGTAAAGTTACAAACTTTACGTGCATGCATGGGACTTTGAGCCTAAAATGCCCAAAAAGAAGCTCTCAAGATGAATGGAGCCTTCCATGGGTGCAAAAGCAACCCTTAACTGCCTTGTGACCCCTCCAAGGTCCTACATCCGAAGCCTCAACCCCCAACCATGTTTACAATCATGGTTGGTTACCAAGAATGGCTTGTAAAAGCCCTAAATCTCCCCAAAAAAGGATCTAACAAAAGAACAAGCAAGGTATAGACTTTATACCTTCTGTGAACTGCAAATGATGCACCAAACTCGAATCCTTCAGTCTCCTCTTGATCCTTCTATGCTCTTCCTTCTTCCTTGTGGTCAAAACCCACAAAAATCACTCAAAAACCTTAGATCTTGCACCAAAACACTTAGGTTTTGCTATGGAGAGTTTCTGGGAGCAATAGGGATGAGTGGTGGTTGAAAGAGATGATTAAATAGGGTGCAAACCCTCATATTAGGGTTTTTGCCCAGTCAAAGACTACTCGTCGAGTCCAGGACCCGACTCGACGAGTCCCATACTTAAATCCTGCGTCCCATCCCGCTTCTGCTCGGCGAGTTGGGCCTTCAACTCGCCGAGTCCCAGGCCAAGAATGCAAAATTACTTAAATGAAATACATACCAGGAACCAGGTGCTACACGGAAAGAGCATATCAAGAACACATACAGCCTTAGCCTCCTTGTATTCGGTCACGGCCTTGTGAGAAGCATAAGAGAACTGCACATCCAAAAGCCTTGTATTCGGTCACAGCCTTCGCCTTGTGAGAAGCATCAATATTAGAATTTGGTTACCACTCAAACTGACAACATCCAAAAACCTAAGGGGGGCAATATGAAACTTACTAGTTGGTGTCAAACCACTTGGTCATTTCCATAGCAGGGACAGAGGAATTTCCTCTGGCCATGGAGAAGTAAGTGTCGAAACCAATCTCACCACCATTCCACTTGTATCTTGAGGGGACAGCACCAAGCATGGCAGTGGTGTCAAGGACCTGATTGTATACCTGCATATACATATATAGAGATTGTATACCTGTCATTTTATATATATGTAATATATGTAGAACTGAAAATACTAATATATATTTTGTTGTTGTAAGCATAAAAAAACTAATCACAATACCTCAACAATGTAAGCATCAAGTGTAAGAAAGGGCATTGATGTCCAGAGAAGCTTCCATCTTGATGACAACAAACACGTTTCAACAACAAATTTCATGTCAAAACCAGACATGATCTTAAATCCAAGGGTCAAAACATATATTTTTATAAAATTGAATCTCCAAGGGTCAGAACATATATTTTTATAAATTTTGGTCTTATGCATCAAATTTATGCCTGAATGTGTGTGGGAATCAAGAAATTGGATATCCAAACAACATTTGGTAGACTCAATTGAATGTATGAAACATCAATTTCATCAATTGAGGAAGAATTACAAGATGCGATGCAGAACAATGAGATTGGAAAAGAAAAAGTCAAAATAAATCAAAATTAGACTAAAGATCAAGGCGTATGTTTCTGCAATTGGATATCCAAACAACATCTTGTAGACTCAATTGAATATATGGAACATCAATTTCATCAATTGAAGAAGAACTGCAAGATGCGATGCAGACCAGGTGTGATTGGAAAAGAAAAAAGTCAAAATAAGTCAAAATTAGACTAAAAATTCAAGGTGTACGTTTCTGAAGAACGCACCGCCTCTACCGATTCATCTACGCTTCACCTGGACAAAGCGTACGTCTCAAATCCAACCACAGAGGTGGCGCCTCTAGTTCGGCCATGGTCCGCTTCGCCTTAAGGCGCGCCTCAAGGCGTACGCTTCTGACGAGTTTTAAAACGATGTGTGCGACAGATCAAAGCAAAAAGAAAACTGAAAGTACTCTAATAAGAGAAGGACGAAGATAGAGAACAAGATAAGAACAAGTGTGGTGTGGACTTACAAGTAAGACTGTAGAGGGGTGAATAGGAGGCTGATATCGATCCCGAGTGATGACAGAAGTTCAGCTACCCATGAAGATGCTAAGACCGGAGAAGAACTCTTTTATGAAGTTCAACATCACGAGCGATTACAAGAAAGGAGCGGGTGTTTAAGCCCTTTAGGGTTTATGAGATGGCGCGAGTTTTTAAGCCCTTTAGGGTTTATGTTTTCCTGTGTGTACCAAAGATTTTGCAAGAAAGGCGAGGTGAATGACCGAAATCCTCAACCTCTGTGCACACAGCAGGTTCATCCGACTCCAACGTATTACCGACTGATTGTTATTGCGATTTAAGTGAGATATGCGAAGCCATGCGAGATCTTTATGAAATCGCAGGTTGGTTTCTTTCTTGATAATTGGAAGCGGAGGGGATTTTAATTTTTCACGGCGGGGTTTTACTTTTTGGGATTTCATTTCCCGCTTAAAACGCGTGTTTTATTAAAAAAATATAAAGCGACAGTGTTACATGACGCACATTTTATGATGGGCGTCCTCCGTATTTCTTTTTTTTTCTTTTCTGACACTAATCTCAGGGCACGCACAAATGCGTGTCCTCTATCCTTCAAATTTTAGAAGACATGACATTATTTTTAGGGCGCACACTTTTGCGTATCGTAAATCACTGCGTGTCATTGTTTGCGTGTCATTAAAGGGCTATTTTCTAGTAGTGTACTAAAAGGTTTTTAGGTTCTCGTTATGTGACTTCCAATGCTTATGTACATGAGGTTTTTGGAATCGGTAATGTTATTGATGGGTTTACTATGTACGTTGATAAGTCCATGGCACTTAAAATTGCAAACAAAATACAAGAAGTATTGGGGGGACATAGTGAAACTTAATCAATATTTGTTCATCGAAGTAGTTCTTGACCAAGACACAAATGGAAATATATTGCATGGGTTGTGGAAGAAAGATTTGGGAAAACAAAGCGCACACTTTTCTATCAAATCTAGATTCCAACATTCGAGTCTTGTTTGATCTCTATAATGCTTCCATGCCTCAAAAAGAAAAAGAAAGGGATGAGGAGGTGTCATCTTCTACTTCTAATGCTAGTCCTAATTCTATGTGGGGGCATGAGGTAGTCATGGATATTGAGGAACTTATGACTAAACGTTTTGAAATGGCTGTGGGGAGTTCCGAAACCATTTTGAAGAAAACGGAGTTAGATAAATATCTTGGGGAAGACCGTGAAGCTATAGATGTCAATTTTGACATATTAAAATGGTGGAAGATTAAAAAATGTAGATATCATGCTATTGCAAAGATGACACGAGATATGTTTGTTATTCCGGTTTCTATGGTTTCCCTGAGTCGGATTAGCACCAGAGGACAGATGCTTGATTGATTTCGAACATCTTTAACTTCTAGAATGGTGGAATCATTAGTTTACACACAAGATTTGGTGTGTGATTCTCATGATCCAATTAATGTTGATGAGATATTGCTTGAAATAGAGAAGATAGAGGATGAAGGGTAGTCTTAAATTCATAGAGTATTATTTGTATTTGTGTCTAATGATACTTATATTTGTAATGTTTTCATTTTTATTTTAATTCATAGTTCTGAAAGACTTAAGTGTGGAGCAAAATACCATCATAATTGATGAAACAGCTAATAAATTAGCTGAAAATATTCAAGGTATTATTCTATTAAAGTTTCTATACTTCCAGAAGAATTTAAACATGCATCTATTTTTATCCCTGATTATGTTTTCAAAAAATTCATGCTTAATTAGTTTTTTTTTTTTTTGAAAAAAAAAATTCTATCTTTAGAGTGGAGGTTTTCAGAATCCGATTAATCTCTTTCTACCCAGATTATGTTCTACTTTGTTGGTAATTGATCTATTTAAATATTTTTGAATGATTCATGTTAAATTTTATGTAACTTGATAATAATGTATAATATTGCATACAATCAATGTCACTTTGTCTTTAATTTTAAAGCTATTTTTTATTACTTTTATCATTAGGTAACAAACGAATTGGATACAGTGACAACCTTTGATGTGTAATATTGGCTTTTAAGGAATGGTGTTGAAGTGCTAGTTATTACTAGAAGCTAGAAACAGTGAAAGAATATTTTGAAATGTTAACTGTGTGCTTTAAACTTTCGATTCTTTTTGGAAGCTTGTTTGTGTTCTTTAATCTTTGGATACTTGAAATTGTGTGCTTTAAACTTTTGGATGTTTTTTTTAACATTGAACAAGTAATATTTAATGTTCTTTTTTTTTTAATTTGTTGACATTTGAAGAAAATATATAGATGATTGCATTTTCAGATATCCAAGCTGATATTCAATTTTGTATCCTGAATTGCGGATATCTGATATTTCGGATATCCGAAATTGCGGATATAAAATCGGATATCAATATCTATATTTCGAAATTTTCGGATATCTGAAATATTGATATCTGAAATTTCGGATATATGGGTATGAACACCCCTACTTGGTGCATAGATCTGGCAAGCACGTTCCCTCACCACTTTGGAGCATATATTTTGGACCATTATAAGTCCTCAAGTTCCAACCTTTATGTGTAATGTTTCTAGATATAGGATTTTATGCTTTGTTCCTCATGTTTAGGGTAGTTTGATTGATTGGATTCCATAAATTTGACAAATTTATTGATCCTTTGGGTCCCTTTGAGGTTTGATGTGCTAGATCTGAAGTTTGATTGAGTTTTGGGTCCTTGCATGAGATTTTGACCTTATTTTCACCATTTTTGACCTAATTAAAGTTAAGACATGCATTGAACATGCATGTACATAATGCAAAAGTTTTTATGAATCTTATGGACATTTGGGAGTATTCTGGAAAAGGTGAGTGTACGGCTTAATGGACTAAAAGGGCTTAATACATTTAGTGGTTTCTAGACAGTTCCCACGACATGGCAACCTGCTTACTACGTCATGGCGAATGGATTCTTCATGACTGTTTTGCCGAGGGATTTCCATGGCGTGGTAGGTGCATGGCCACGATGTGGTGATCAGCTGTGGTAACTTTTGGTTGTTAACTTTGACCGTTGACTGTTAACTTTTTGACTAGTTTGACTTTTGGTCAAACTTTGAGAGGTGTTGAGCTATAGTCTGAGGTTTAGCTTGTGATTGGTTTAGGAGGTTTGTGTAGCTGATTCTATGAGACTTTGAGTAGTGGATTTCAGCCCTTCATTCAGATGAGTCTTCTCAATGTATTACTTATGCCATAGTGGTGTGCATGATAGACTATTTAAGTCTTATTTGATGATTGTTGTTATGCATATTATTGGGTTGTTGATAACCCATAGGGCTGTTGTGAGCCCAGAGGATTGTTGATAGTCCCATGGTTGTTAATAACCTATAATTGCTTATATTGTTGTGATGTATGTGATATTTAGGACTACTGATAATCCCTAGGTTGCTGATAACCCATAGTTGATTATAATGACGTGTTGTATATGATATTTTAGGTAACTCACTAAGCTTTGTGCTTACAATTATGGATTAAATGTTTTCAGGTACTTATTGGATTGCGAATGCGGAACTTTACACACACATCGATAATTTTATGATTTGATATTGTAACGGCAAGTTTCTGATATGTCCTTCTTAAATGTTTTATTATTTAAGTTTTGTATTTTTGGTGGCCACGATGTGGTGAATGATTTCCCTTGACGTGGCCATGGCTATAGAATACATAGAGGTTAAGTGGGCACCACGGGGTGACAGGCTACTGGCCACGACGTGGCAGCCAAATTAATGAGAAACCCTAATTTATGGGGTTTATACCCCTACTTAAGGGATGTGATGGCTAGGGTTTTCACAACCTTAACCTCCATCACTTCCCTTCCTCCCTCATTGAAACCGTAGCCTCAATTGTAGAAGTTCTTGAGGTTTTTGGGTGATTTCTAGCCAAGAAGACGAGGAGGAGAAGGAGATTTAGGGAAACACCTCACCACCATCTTCTCTCACACTCTCTGGACCTTTGTAAGTATTCAAACTCCATGCTTTATGATCCTATGTGATTAGATCTAGGTTTTTATGTGTTTTTTTTTTTCATGTTTAGGCTAGTTGGAGTGTTGGGGTCCCATAAAGTTGCCAACTTATGGATCCCTAGAGTCCTTTTGTAGTTAGAAGTAATGGATCTGATGTTTGCTAGAGTTTTGAACTCTTGCATGAGATCTTGACCCCATTTTACACCATTTTGACCTAGCTTGAGTTGAAGACATGCATTTGACATGTATGCCTATACAGTTACGATTTTAATGACCTTTTAGGAGTATGAAAGCCTTTTGGAAAGTATGGATGGGTGGTGTAAAGGATTAAGATCTTAATGGTTTAACTTGGTCTGGGCAGTTCCCCACAATATGAAAGTTTGGTCTCCATGGCATGGCGTTTGGCATATTCTTTTCTATTTTGTCCTACAGTCCCCACAACGTGGCATAAGCCTGTCCACATCGTGGCGATTGCCTGAGTGGATTTGAATGTGTAATTTGATCGTTGACCGTTGAATTTCTGACCAAGTTTAACTTTAAGTCAAATTCAGGGGTTGGGGTTGTAGTTTGAGATTCGATCTCTGTTTGCTGTTTAGGTGACTTGTAGTGCTGATTATTGGATTTGTGATAAGTTTTGATATCTTGTAGACTGTAAGGTGATTTTCTCGCTATACTTTAGACTGCAATATGTGTCCTTGTGTGTAGGATGTTGTTATATTGTATATTTGTTATATTGGTAGATCAGTATGATTACCTGTATTTTTGGTTATCTATTTGCATATGTCGACACTGTGCGGGTGGGTAGCGAACATACAGATTTGTGCTTGTAACATCCAGATCCTTGAGATAAATAATTTATTGAAATTATAGTTTTTGGAAGAGGGTCATGACGTAAGACATAATGTCACGTCGTGAGTGGTTGTTGACCAGTTGACCTGCATCTTTTGAAGTCTCACGACGTGAGGAATAAGTTCCCATGACGTGAGAATGGCATGATGATCGAAAACCCTAATGTTCAAGTATTTAATGGAAAGAGAGGGCCAGGGCTGCCCATCCTCATCCCCCTCACTCTCTAGCCTCCTAAAAACCCTAATCTCGAGCTACTTGAGTTCCTTAGCCATTTTTGGTGACCTTGAATAACTTATTGGTAGTTTTTGGCTCACTGAAGCAGAAGAAGACTTTTTTAGAGCATTCTCTTGGCGATCCAACTTCTACTTCACCTGCTTACAGAGCTTTTGGACCCTTGTAAGTCATAAAGCTCTGGCGTTTTTACCTCTTGCATGCTAGATCTAGGTTCTAAGCTCCTTTTTGCATGGTTGAGTTGGATAACATGCATGGGATCCATATAGTTGGAAACTTTATGGATCATTGAGACAACTTTGGTATTATAAGCTTTGGATCTGAGTTTTGGAGTTGGTTTTAGACTCCAAGCATGAGTCTTGACCTTAATTTCCCTCTTTTGACCTAATGAGTGTTTAAGTCATGAATTAGAAATTCATGACTAAAAGTATACAATTTTTATTATCCTTTGGGTGAGGGAAGACCCTCTGGAAAGTCCCAAGTAGTGGCTTAATGCTCAAAGCTGGCCAAGACAACGCTCACTACGTGAGAATAAGCCTTCCACGTCGTGAGATTGCATGCCATCCGCGGATGTTTTGTTGGTTTAGGTCACGAGGTTGCCACGACGTGATAGTGGTTGGAATCGAGACTGGGTGAGCTGATTAAATGAGTTGACCCGCTGAGTTAGGTCTGGGTCGAGTTTGTACTCATGATGTGCCATGAGTTGGTCACGACATGAGGGTTAGCTTTTGAAGTTTGGACCGTTGACTTTAGGCCATTTTGGAACTTTTGGGCCTTAGGTTTCTCTAGTTAGGCTTGGGCCATTAGTGGGCGAAGGTTGGGCTTGGACCATTATTGGGCGTTATAATTCATGGACTTAACCTTAGATAGTAACTAGGGTTGGTATTGATTGTGTTCAGTGTGAGGAGCCGTTGTACATTAGACTCGGGTGTGAGGTTTTCTATCTTCTGATCGAGGTGAGTCTCCTTACAGTTCTTGCGGGTCGAAGGCACCAATTTCGGTTCATTGGATTATGTTATAGTATGTTAGTTTTTCTTTGCGACTCTTGCATGTGTTGTATATATATGTATGCATACCGGGTGAGGCCTGATATCGGACGGGGACGATGCCAGGCGGGGTCTAATGACGGGTGGGACCCAATAAATGTATGTATGCATGATATGTATTCTATGTAGTATTTTGGGAAACTCAATAAGCTTCATGCTTACGGTTTATGTTTAACATGTTCCAGGTACTTCTGGTTCCAATGGGAAGGGCTCAGGTTGATAGCATCACATGCACCCATGAGTTCCGCG